CCACGCCCCCCTGCAGGAGAGGTGAGCCGTGCTCTGATCAAGTCAAGAGGGGGAGAAAAAGAGATCTCCGTCCTCCGTGTTTTATTATATAGAGTCGTTATTCATTTGTTTTAAAGCTCAATAAATAACAAAGAAGACCTTTGACCGGCACTTTTCTAATTTTGTCCGGAAGATTTAAACTTTAACGGACATCTTGACCGGCGACAGAAACTGAAACTGAAACTCTGCCGCACGGTCCCCTCGTTCCTTGGAAGAGGCGGAGAGGTGGGTGTTTGTCATCTGCTGGTGGACTAACCGGAGAGAATTACAGTGCTTGCCTCGACGGGGAGGGATTGCATTGAATTAAAGCAGCGGGAGCAAACGCTTGCCTCGGGGAGGGAGAAAGAAAGCCACAGCGGAGAATAAACAGAAGGGTAACCATGGTACATTAACTATGGGCGGGAAGTCTTCTTCGCTGCTTTTGTGGCAGACTACAGCGCCACTTACAGGCCTGGCATATGTACTACAGCGCCTCCAGCGCTTTCGAGCGGCAATGGCCGGCCGTGGCCCAACCCCACATTCCCCTGATAGGTGGAGAGTTGGCCCAATAGCCGTAGCGCCACTTCTGTGACGACATAGAAGTGTTCAAATCTGGATCAGTTTTGATCAGATCCGTTGCAGCCCCTTTTTTAGAGATTTGGGTATGGAGGAAAATAGAGAGGGTTGTGTTTTCTAACACTTGGTGAGTTCCCTGGAACACCGGGGACACATATTCATGTATAAAAGACGTACAAAAGTGCGTTTTGCATGATAGGTCCCCTTTAACACATCTCCTGCAGTCACTAACATCTTATAACAGCTTATAAACAGAACTAAGAAAGACGAGAAGACACAGAAGCTTTTATTTCCTTTTTATTTTCAATAATCGTTTTCATCCAGCTTCGTATTTGCAATGACTTTTTTAGTTTTCCTCTAATATATGACGCGTTATATGAAGGTGTGTCAGAAAAAGGTGCAAACATCAGCGAAACAACAAAAGACGTTTTTTTCAAACAGCTCGTCATCCTCCTGTCTGTGTGTCGCGGGGCGATGACATCATCATTATGCAACAGGCCGAGCCTCGTTTTTTTTTTGGATAAAGTTACACACAGAGCAGCAGCAGGTCTGACGGATAAACTGAACCTCATTATCAGCTCATTACGGATTCATGGGAAGTTATTAGGACGTGAAATCAGATTAAAAGCCGACCTGCTGCTGACTCTTTAACTGCAGAGTCCTTTCTACTAGTGATGTGTCGGTCGCGAACGGGCCGGCTCAAAGAGCCGGCTCTTTTAAGTGAACGACGGGAGCCGGCTCGCGCCCGCGAACGAGCCGTTTTTTTTTGTTATTTTGTTGTTGTTAAGTAATACAAGACAGAATGATATGATGATCTCCGCGCTACAGCTGCTCCGTGCATGCATGCAGTGACATGTAATATCCAAGGATTAGAGACTGTTGGATGCTGCTGTTTTGAGCATTGCAATACATTTATTTTTATTATGTTTTTTTATGATTAGAGACGGTTGGATGCTGCTGTACTGAGCATTGCAATATATTTATTTTCACTATGTTATTTATTTATGATTATCCTTGGGCTCGGCAAAGATTTGATGTCAGCTGTTGCTGTCTTTTTTTCTATAGTTAATACTGAAATAGAGCCCTGCTGTTTTGTCAGGGCCTTTTCTTTAAATATAATTTTAAAATGTCGATAGAGTAGCCCATTTTTTAAAATGTCTATGCTTAAGTTTTTATCTCAATCTCAATTTTTATTTATTTATATAGCACATTTAAAACAACCTTCAGTTGACCAAAGTGCTGTACAGGCAATACATATTAAATAACACAATGGGAGTACAATAATAAAACAATAATTAAAAACATGATAAAAAGCACAATAACTAGAAAAATATTTTTAAAAAAACACATACAAATGTAAAAATGTAATGTTCAACTAGTATTAAAAGCCAGTGCAAAGAGGTGAGTTTTTAGCTGAGATTTAAAAAGTTCAATAGACTCAGCAGTCCGGATATGTACTGGGAGGCTGTTCCACAGTCTAGGAGCTGCAACACTGAAAGCCCTGTCACCTCGGGTTTTGTTATAGGTGTTGCTATCTGCTTTGTGTAGCGTGGTTCGACAAGCAAGTCTGTGCATTCATTGGGTGGTATCAGAGAGATACAAGGGTCTGTAAATGCAATGAAAACAATTGGCCACAGCAAATAATTGATATTAAACATGTCATTTTTACTTTTGAATACTTCAGTACAAAGGATGTATTGAATAATTTAAGTGATATGTGTACACATATAAATCATTAGTCAAAACAAGGCTACATTTGATTGAATTATAAAAGGTATAATATGTGGTAAACTGAAGAGCCGTTTGGGAGCCGAAAGAGCCGGCTCTTCTTGGTGAGCCGAGCCAAATGATCCGGCTCACCAAGAAGAGCCGGAATTCCCATCACTACTTTCTACTCTTTCTACGTCCTGTTTACACACTGATGCTGCCTTCAGGGGACGCTAGATTTACCGTAAATACACGTTTACGTCATGTGGACATTAATGTAATTCCCATTTTAGGACCAATCAACGTCCATCTGGTCCTTACGGTTCAATTATTTGAGAAATGCATTGGAAATGATAAAAAACTAATAAATCAACACGTCTTTAAATTCCAGAATTGTCATTTAATTCCCAATTTGATTTGAAAAAGGTAACTTTAATAAATAAATATGAACCGGATTTTCTTTTTAAATCAGTCTGAAGGCGCTGTCATTACATTTAAATGTAATTTCTTATATGCTCCTTTTAGTGGAAGAAATGTAATTGACTTTAACGTGATTTCCTGGCGGGCCCTGAAGGCAGCGTTGGACGTTTGTAAAGAGGACTCTCGTGTTTCAACATTCCTGTCGAGTGTTTTGGTTGAAGTCTCACGAACATGAACAAACATTCCCCTCTCGGTCCGGAGGAGCTAACGATGAAACGCGGCGAGCGTTCCCGTTAAAATCCTCGTTTTGGTCCGACCCCGAAACCCCGAACTGGAAGACTTTCTCTCAGAGGCAGTACGGTGGATTTTGATTGGTTCCTTTCTTTCAGTCCATCCATTCGTCTGTCCATTTGCAACCAAAAAATAAAAAATCCAGTGGTCGTGGCAGCCAATCAGAGTCGAGCTCTGTAGCCCCGCCCCCTCAATTGACTGAATTCAAAAAGGCGGCAGAATCAGCAGCGTGGTTAATGACGGAGCGTCAGATAATGTCAGCGTTATGATTACGTTTTCCTCTACATGCTAAATAAAGGACCCTTTCGAATGAAAACGTGTCTTTTATTCTGTAGGTTTCGTGCGTCGGCTGATTGGAGGAGACGAAGTTTCCCAAAAAGCATCTTTGAATGAATTCAAAAGTAAACGTTTAATTCCCTGTCTGCAGTCTGAAGCTCTAATGCACCTTTTTAGGGATTCATCTCTAATTCTATTTATTTTTTTATTTTATTTTGATTAAACTTTTTGATCTTTGTATCCCGAATGCAAATTAGGAATTTTAATGTGGCTTTAAATTCCTATTTGATGGAGTTTTGCATTTTTTCTGGATGAAGAAGTGCAGGGGTCAAACTTGATTAAAAATAAATATATATATTTATTTTACTTAATATTTTTTTTAAATAGAACAAGAAATCATGCAGCAGGATAAAGTAAATGATATTTCTCAAAAGTAAATGATATAATTACCTGACAATGACCTGAGGAACGATTTGAGAAAAAACGCTTAAAATAAATTGTAAAATATTTCATCAAAAAGCCAAAATGTAATTTCTATTAATGAGAAAAAGTTAAACCTACGCAACACAACCAGGTCATAACATGCTTCTCTGCTGCTCGGCGTACTTTATAAAACATTGAAACAGATTATTGATCGTATTATTATTTATAGGAAAGCAGTGATTTTATAACGCTGAGGATAAACAAACAGGAAGTGGAGCCTGTTGTTGTTGTTGTTTACTGTAAACTGGGAAGAGTGAGAAGATGCTTCTGGAAGACCTCTCAGGAATAAAGGGATCAAGAAGAGGAAGAGGAAGAGGAGGAGGAGGAAGAGGAAGATGAAGGTTCTGCAGGTTGACGGTCGGGCAGTGCAGCGCCTCATCTCAACGTCTCAACGTCTCACATTAAAAATAAATGATAATAATAATAATATAAATATTTACAGGAAGGGAAGCTGTTTGTTTCCGGGAAGAAATCCATTTAGAAACTGAGAAATAAATACATTCGAATTTTTAGGTTCTTTTTGTGTGTTTTTGTTCAGGGGTGAGGATGAGGAAGATGACACGAGGTCGCAGTGAAACAGCTTCAGATCAGGCAGTGTTCTTCGTCTCAATGAAGCAGGGCAGTGTTAGAATAAAGTCCCCAAATCCTCCAATCAGCCAACACCTGAACGCACCACGGACTCTGAGAGGCGCTGACGCCAGAAACACACTTTAGTTTTGCACTTAGTAAATACGTTAACATCCTTTTCCACAATTTCAGTGTTTTCTATCATGGCATCAGCCTGAGTCAGAGAACGTCCGGATTCCCAGGTTTCTTAAACGCCTCATGACTTACAGACGTGTTTCGCGAGGTATGGTGCGTTCACTAAAACCTTTAGAAACTGACTTTTCTGGTTCTTTATGAGTTAAAAAGAATACATTTGGACTCATAATCAATAATCAAACCTGCAATGTGAGCAAGAAATGTAGAAATGTTTGATTTAAATGATTAATTTTGTACAATTTAGTGCATCAGTAAAACAAATTGCGCCGCTACGCTGATGACGTGCCGCGGTTTTGACTGAATTTCAAAATCAAATATATTTTAAATCCAACAATACAATCAGCCGTGATAAACGTAACCAATCAGGAAGCTGCTGTGATATTAATCGGGGATTGACAGACGGGATAAATGTGCCCGACACCCCTTTTTTTATTTATTTTTTTAAAGTGCACCAATTAGATGACTGCATCACAACAAACCCCCCCCCCCCCCGAATACAGTCGTGTTTCTGTGCACGTTTTGAGGCTTGTGAAAACATGCTGCGTGAAAACTCAATCAGCTGTTAGTAGTGTTAATCATCAAACACCCAAAAAAACATCAAACCCGCTCAGTCCCTGAACGCATCACGAAGACGGAGCTTTGTTCACATTCCTCAAGATTACTGATTTCAAACGAGCTTTCTCCGTCCAGGCAGAACATCATGACGTGTTTTTATTATTCTTTAAATATCATGACGTGTTTTTATTATTCTTTAAACATCATGACGTGTTTTTATTATTCTTTAAATATCATGACGTGTTTTTATTGTTCTTTAAAAATCATGACGTGTTTTTATTATTCTTTAAATATCATGACGTGTTTTTATTATTCTTTAAATATCATGACGGGCTCCTCGACTACTTCAGAAGCTTCTCCTCCAGGTCGTGGAGCGACGGCTCCTTGTACATGCACACTGCGGAGGAAGGAGAAGAAGAAGGAGGAGAATGAGATACATATATATTCTTATCCGCTAGGAAGTCTAAGATACATGCACTTGAGTAAAAGTAGAAGTACTCAGATCTTGTACTCGTGTGTGTGTGTGTGTGTGTGTGTGTGTGTGTGTGTGTGTGTGTGTGTGTGTGTGTGTGTGTGTGTGTGTGTGTGTGTGTGTGTGTGTGTGTGTGTGTGTGTACCTTCGATGGGGCGGGGTACAAAGTGTGAGCAGGGCTTGGTCTTCTTCACCCGGTTCCCCTTCATGATGGCTCCGTCCTTGTTGAGTCCCAGGAACCAGGCCCGGCCCGACTCGTGCTGCCGGTACAGAGTCGAGGAGTAGATCACGTAGTAGTTCTCAAACACTGACTCCTTGAACTTACACTCCGCTGTGAACACATCCTACACACACACACACACACACACACACACACACACACACACACACACACATCCTACACACACACACACACACACACACACACACACACACACACACACACACACACACACACACACACACACACACACACACACACACACACACACACACACACACACACACACACACACACACACACACACACACTAAAGACTTGTATAAACAAAAAGATCAATCACAGAAACTGACGAAGAGGCAGGATTTTCAAAATAAAAGCTCCATTAAGACACGTAGAAAGACAGACAGACAGACAGACAGACAGACAGACAGACAGACAGACAGACAGACAGAGAGACAGACAGACAGACAGACAGCTCCTCACTGATGTGTAGAGGAACCCCTCAGCGTTCATCCCCACGTAGAGTCCTGCCTTCACGCCCTGAATGGCCACCACTCTGAGTCCCACTGGGATCAGGTTGAACAGAGCTGGGGGGACAGGAAGTGTAGTACCGCCGTTTGGCCACCACGAATATTTTCATCTGAGTCCGGCGCACTTCCTGGGGGCTTGACTTGCCGCGGCCACAGCTAGACCATTATGCCCGGAGGAGGGGAAGAGAGGAGTCGAGGAGGGGTTGTTCCCGTCGTGACGCAGAAGTTTTCCTCCTCGTTGGTAAGTGACAGTTTTCAGAGTGAAATGACTCTCAGCTGATCTCTGCTCTCACCTCAGACTCATCTCTCTCATGTGTTTATTGCTAACAGTTATTTATATTATTGATAATAACAGCTGCAGCTGCTCTAACAGCATGCTAACAGCATGCTAACAACATGCTAACTCAAATCAATACTTCAGGAATGAGACAGACTGTAACATCTTGTTTACTGGTTTCCTGCACTTAACAGGTTAACATAAAACATAATGCATGTAACCGTGACTATAGGTAACAGATTAATACATAACAAATGTGTTTATATATGTATATGTTACATTCTCCCAGTAGCCAAGATGATGACAATAAACAATAATGGACATGAACAATGAAAATAATGATCATATCAAAGTTTAGCCAGCTTCACAAAATAGTCTTTCTAGGAACAAAAGCAAATGTGATATCCCCATCCAAAATTATTTCATTAGTAAGTCTGTGTGAGCCCAGCCATCTGATTTGTAAAGAAGTAGCCTAATGAATGCATGTTCACTTTTAAAATCAGGATTGTGTGATTTTACAAGGATATATCCCCAATCATAAAATCTGTTTGTTAAATGTTACTTCCTCATGAGTACAGAATATGGCCTTATAAATATTGACCCTAAAGAATTCAATGGCTGTTCAGCCCACATATAATTTCATTACCGCCTTATGCATACTGGGTTGTAAAAGGAAACAAAGAGGAACATAACAAGCCATATTTCACACATGCCTTCTCTCCTTCTCCCTAAAAATAAATAAAAGTGCAGTGTTTTACCAAATCATGTGTGTAGTAGTACCTGGCGCCCACTAGGAGGAAGTGGTGGCTCAAGGTCTGAACAACTGGTTTAGGTTTAGAGATGAATAAGCTTATGAAAACATACTTTCCTTGATACGGTTCTTTACTCACTGGTGACTAGGATTCAGGCTTCATATGCCTACATTTCCCTTTTGTGTATATGTTTCTGTTACAATTTTTACATTATTTTGACAAACAACAAAGGACAAAAGTCTTTTGACAATGTCATTGTTTGTTGGGATCCTTCTTTTAGATTGCTATCTCTTATTCAAATTTGGAAATGCTTGACTTTTAGTTTAAGATTTCATATCTAAAACTGGGCATGGCAAAGATTCTTAAGGAAGCCGATATGTTTTAGTCCTGAAATTAATTAAACAGATTGTGTGGGTTTCAGAGAGAACACCAAACCTTAAAAGCACATTTTAAAAGCCTTTCCCTTTGTGAGTCTGTTATCTGGAGAGATTTGCTGTGCTGTCGCCTCTTATTATGCTAACACAGGGTCTCCCTTTCGACAGTGATAACATCTCTTTAGTTTGGCCTTCCCCAGAGTAGTATTCTGCGATAGACAGTTGAGGACAAAGGCAACTCTCATGAACATTACTGGAAGAAGTTTAGTGCTAAGTGTCTATTTTATTTGTAAATCATACTTCTTACATTCAGTGGATTGAGCAGAGGAATGCAAATGTACAAACTGATCAATCTATAGCAGTGTGTTGAATGCTGCTTTCAGTTTTTGATATGTGTTTCAGTTTGAGGTCTCCATATTGAGGAACAACATATTGATTTGTCATTTGAAAGGCTCATAAACTAAAAGTGTGGGTAAGTGGAATGCTGCGTTCACACCGGACGCGATGCGAATATTCGCTTCGCTCCAATCGCTTCGCTCCAATCGCTCAAGTTTCACCGCGGCTTGCAGTTTGTTTTATCGCGTCATTCAAAACAGACATACCGTTGACGGGCAGTTGAGGTTGTTTACACTTCCATGCAAGATCGTTTTGATTATTTCTGTCGTTGACTATGGAGGATATAACTACTATTGCTGCTTTGTACCTTCTGTGGAAGTCCTACAAACGTAGCAACAAACGCCGCTCTGTCTGGGTTCACAATGTAATCAAGCGTCGCACACAGTTTGGTGAATATCATTGTTTGATCAAGGAACTGCGCCTGGATGACTGCCGTTTCCAGCAGTATTTTAGGATGACCTGTGCCCAGTTTGATGATCTTCTGGCTCGGGTTGGTGTCAGGATTTCCCGGATGGACACAAACTACAGGCGTTCCCTCTCAGCTGCGGAGCGTCAATATGTCTCCGGTAAATTGTTTTGTTCTGTTTTTTATTAGCGTGTTAATATGAATACAACATATTGAATGAATCTTGCACGTCATGGTGAATCAATGCCACAGCACTATGGATCAAAATGAACTGTTTGTTGTTATTATTTAATTATATTAAACGTTTAAAAGGGATGCTTAAATAACTCCCATCATGATAGTTTTAATGACTTTGTATACTGCAGGGTAGCTTGTGAATTTACTCCAGTTGGAACTAATTGTCTAATCTGATTTAACACTTGATTATATTTCACATTATTTCAAATCTGGAAAGTAACGAAAGGTATTAAATACATACCATTTAATGTAGCCTACTTATACGGTGGCCCTGAAGTGCAAGACACCACAGCATTTCACATTGGACGGAAAGGGTATTCCTTTAGGGAGAAAACTTCTTGTTTGTGATTGGACAGAGCCAGCCAGAGAAGCACTGCTGTGATTGGTTGTTTTTGCTGCCAGTCAAGAGAAATTTCGCTTCATGATTGGTCAGCGACCGGAAGTGTAGAATATCCGGGCGGTTTTACTCGGGGTGTTTTCGCCCATTGCGCGACTTCTGACTCTGAAATGATGTATTGTCCGCGTTGTGGGAAGACATTTCAGTCACTTCAACATTTTTGCAGTTCTTGTGGACAGTCATTGGCTGCATTAAAAGAAGCTAAACACGAACAGGACTTCAGTGGCCCGATTCCAGGTAAAACATCAAGTAACAATGCTCTGTAAAAGCTTTAAGCCTGTCTCGTGATTCATGTTTGAACCATAGATATAAGGTTTGAACTCACACTCGCATATAATGTGAATAAAAAAACATAACCCAGGCTAAGTTCAGCTTGGTTATCATAACATTGTTTTTCTCTGTTTGTGTAACGTTAGCTGCTGCCCCAAAAATGCCATCCCTGAAAACGTTCCTCGAGTACAGAAGTAAGAAGTCAGACGAAAGGCTTAATTTCTCTTGCCAGAAGAGAAAAGTGAAGAAGAAAGAACAGACAAGTACAGTACAGGTAGCCAATATGGGGGAGGAAGTGCTGGAAGATATGGTTTACTAGGCAAGATAGATGGTACCTGTTTTAGGTGATAAAAGCATTACTTTTACTGTGTTACAATTGGACAGCTCAGCTTTATTAGTAAATCATGATTAAAGGGAAAAATGTGTGTCTGAAAATTACATCATGTATGTGGTTAACTCTAAAACGTCTTGGTCATGGTCAGCTAAGTTCAAAAAGATGCACTAGCAGGTTTGGTTTAAGAAGTTGTTGTATTTAGTCGTGTAAAATCTTCTTGGTTATCCGCATTTGTCAAACATCACCATGGTTGAGAATATATAAGTTATAAGCAGGCCTATGTGATGTATCCAAGTGATGGTAAAGCGTCTTCAACCTTTTTTTCCTTATTTATGAAGGGGTTATTAAAGCACAAAAAATAAGGATTTGTTAGCCTAATCAAGTCAGGATTTATATTCATTAATATTCCTGGTACTTCAACGCCATTTAATCTGAGAGAGTATAAAACGGAAATAGGGAAAACCTACAACCGAATTGCTCTCTTTATATGTCTTAAATCAGATTATGACAAAGGTAAGTCCTTTTTTTCAGGCTATGCAGATTTCATTTCAGGTTGGTCAGCAATCAAAATGTCACTGACAAGCTGCTTTCCCATAGGTGAACAACAAGATGCATCAGACTCTGATCAGGAAGTCACCGTGAGACTCAAAAGTGTGTGTGTGTGTGTGTGTGTGTGTGTGTGTGTGTGTGTGTGTGTGTGTGCGGTGTGTGTGTGTGTGTGTGTGTGTGTGTGTGTGTGTGTGTGTGTGTGTGTGTGTGTGTGTGTGTGTGTTGTGTGTGTGTGTGTGTGTGTGTGTGTGTGTGTGTGTGTGTGTGTGTGTGTGTGTGTGTGTGTGTGTGTGTGTGTGTGTGTGTGTGTGTGTGTGTGTGTGTGTGTGTGTGTGTGTGTGTGTGTGTGTGTGTGTGTGTGTGTGTGTGTGTGTGTGTGGGCTGTGCAATTAATCGTATTTTAATCGCAATTACGATTTTGGCCTGCCACAATTACGAAAACAACATAATCGAAAAAAACGATTATTTTGCTTTGCTAGGTTGTGACATATTTGATCTAATTTATTTTAGTCTAATTTATTTTTATTTATCATATTTATATATGTTTAGTAGCTTGTTGAAGTGTGCTCCAAAATATTTGTTGATATTATTTATTTAAATGTATCATTTCTTTTATTTATTTTTGTATTGGTTTTTCAGTTGAATTATACGTTCAGGGTAATCAACAGTTAAAAAGATACTGTTCAAATTATTATTTGTATTTGTTTTAAAGTTCAATAAATGGATGTTTTCAAAGTCAATGAATAATCGTATTTAATAATCGTGATATCAATTATTGACCAAAATAATCGTGATTATGATTTTTGCCATAATCGCACAGCCCTAGTGTGTGTGTTCGTTCATGCCAATTGGCTCAAAGGGGGCATAGCAGTGGTAGTGGCTTATTGCAAAAAGGCGCATCATTTCCAAATGAATTCACATACTTCATAAGATTTTGTAGAACGTTTGGACACACACAAGCAGATCAACTTTTTATGTCAATTTCCCAACCAAAAGGTGCATAATTATTTCAAGTGGATTCACATAAAATGGCTAAACTGGATAATATAAAAGTCTGGCGACACATGCCGCATTTACAGATCAAGTAAGGTCACTGGGGCACAATGAATACTTTTTTTACTGTATTTTTCAGCCCTGGGAACCTGAGCATGAAAGTACTCCAAAAAGCACTGCAGAGAAAACAAGGTAATAGGTTCATTCTTGACCTTTGGAAAAATGCAGTGGTGACTTACTCTTTAAAGGGTTTTGACTGCATTTGTCAGAGTTAATCTCTTTGACTACATGATGTGAATATCCCTTCTTTCATGTGCAACCAAACGTTTAATTTTTGTATTGTAAGTATGCTAATACAGCTGCATTTCAGGTGTTACCTGCATCACTATACAGAAATATACATAATTGATATATATATATATATATACAAAAAATATATTTAAAAAAGACAGTTACATGACATGTTAATGTAATAAAATAACAATCAACAAAAGGGGGAAAATGAAAGAAAAATAGCAAAAAGAAAATAACCATGTGAACCAAGGTTATTGATTTCATTAAGGCTAATGTTCTATATATTTAGAAAATGTTGTTATTATTCCTCCTTGGCCACAATCTACTATCAGAGTGGATCCACCTACAATCTTAGGAAATGATATCCCAAAGAACACAATGTATGGAATTTGTCTGCACCACAAGCCAATTATAAATGTAGTACTTAAATCGAAATGCATTAGTTGGACTGGATTAAAAAAAACATGTTCATGTCAGTCATGGCAAATACTCGTGCATTAATTCTGTATTTGTTTGTTTCTTCTTTTTTTTCTGTGTCTGCCTCCCTCACTTTCTTCCATCCTTCTTTCCTTCAAACAGCTCTTCATCATATCAGAGTGAAAAGGAAGAGGTAGGGTATTTGTGCTGTTTCCTTCCTTATAATCCATGTAAAACATTTAAGTTAAAAGAAATAAACTTTAAAAAAATGCCTTTTTGGTAAAACTATTACATTAGACATGTAATGTATTATTGTGATGTACAATCAAAGCGTTTTTAAACTGTATGTAATATTGTGATTTGTTCACATGTATGCTAAAATGTTAATCTCAAATCAGATACTCATTTCGGACACTGATGACCCCAATGAGGGCACTTCTCAAGGTTGGAGGAACACTGCTACAAGGTATTGACTTGAGCCACTGATCTTTATTCATATTATTACATAAGACAGATACCCTACACTAATGATTCATGATTAGTGTTCCAGATACCCCTTCCAACATGACTGCTGTGAGGTCCACTGTCAACCCATTGTACAGGTAATGTTCAGTTTAACCTTGCAACCATGCAAGGTTGCAACATTCACCATGCAAGATTCAAGGTGTAGAATAAAGTGTTGTGCACCATTGTTTTAATAACATTTTGTTTTTTTGCAGCACATCCACACAGTTGTATGCTCCCATTGTAATCGATGAAGATGTGGACGGGAGTCAAGATTTCAATGTTGTGCCCATAAGCGCTGACCCTGCAAAGGAAGCTGTGTAAGTTGTAATTTTATTGGCTCTAATCTTTGAATGGAAAACTTGTGTGGTATTGGAGGTCAAGGTAACATTAGAAGAAACATTTCAATCACATTTGATGAAACATACAAAAATCAGTGTTATGGTATTTAAAGTCCTTTTTCCAGAGTCTGTACTAGAACATTATTTGATATGCTTAATTGTATTCTGTTATCTATTTATGTCGTTTAAGGGACACAAGTATATCTGCAGCCCATATTATTGAAAACTTAGCAGATGCCATAGACCACAACACTGTCAGCAGATTCAACATAACTCGCTCAAATGTTTGGGATGGAGCTGTCAGAGGGTTCAGACGTTCAACCTTCTGTGAAAAGTCTGACTTGCTTGTGAGGTTCACGGATGATGCAGGCTCTGTGGAAGAAGGAATAGACGCAGGTGGACCAAGGCGAGAATTTCTGACACTCCTCATGAGCTTTTTGCAGTCTCGGCCTATTTTTGAGGGACCTCCACAGAGTCGGTACTTGGTGTACAATGCTGCAGGTTTGTTGTCAGACCAGCCCTTGCATAGTTGGATTTAATCATGATTATTTTGCATAGATCATGTGACAGAGCTCAAGTATGGTAATAGTTACTATGTCAATGGGAGGACTAATATACTGAAGTATTATTTATTTTAGCAGTTTTAATGTAACTGTGAATATGTGGGTAGATAAAGGTCCCCTGTGGAGTTTTTAGCTCTAGTAGGGTTATGTGGCAGTTATTTTATGACTGGGCCCCTGTTCTGTCCCACATCAACATGGGAACGCTGCAAGATACATATTTCAATGATCTACCAGTAGCATAAATGCACCAGCATGAAAGAGACTGCGAGTCTGTACAAATTGATGTAAACAATGTTTAGCTTTGTACATTTTGTATACGCTACATTCAATTCTGATTATTTGTGAGTTTAAAAGTAACACTTAAACGCCAATACGCGTTTGATATATAGTGGGTATCACAGACTACCTTTAATGTAAACATTCATTTTGTTTATTACAAGAAAACTCCACAGGGAACATTTGTACATGTGCTTTACAGACAGGGAAAGTAGCTATCAATTTGTAAAATCTTTATCTAAGAGAAAGAATGAGTTCAACTATAATTTGCTTGTAAAGCTGCAAATATTATGAAGCTACATTTTTCTGTAACATCTCATGAAGACAACTCTAAATAGAGTTAGTTAAATACGTTCTGATTATCAAGGGTACAGAATTTGTTTTGGCATTATGATGTACTGTAATTGTCCCCCCAGCAACCAGGGAGGATGAATATTTCATGGCAGGGAAGATGATAGCTGTGTCCATTGTTCATGGAGGACCAGGCCCACATTTTCTTTCAAGGGACCTGGTGAACCACATAGCTGGACAGCCTGGTTTCTGTGCACATGTGACGGATGTGACAGATGATGAGATAGGGAGAGCTCTCAGTGAGGTATTGCAATAAACTACACCAGTCATTGTCATAAATTGGTTTATTTTTTTAAATGCTAAGAAGCACAGTACTTGTGTTTAAGTGTACAGAAAAGCCCCTTATTCAAATGACTGTGTGCAGAAAATCTGAAATGCTCAAAAACAAATTTAGAGTATTCCTTTTTTTAAACATTGACAGTCATTCAACTACTTTTGACATGTTTTTTTTTTCTTTTGTCCAATCACAAGAGTGATATCTATTATAATAATTTGCCGTTATGTGGATATCTTTGATGGTGTGTGTGTTTTCCATTTAGATTGAGTTGGCACATTCTCTGAAGTCTCTGCAAGATGTGTTACTGAAACACAGCTCCATGCTTCAGACTGCTGGCTGCTTCAGGCATGTCAGCTCCGTTGAAGAAAAACACACTGTGGTGGCAGAATACCTTACCTGGTACACCATCGGCAGGAATCACAGTGTAATTGAAAGGTAATGATAGGTGCTTTAATTAAAAGGAATTTAATGTTGATTGAGGCCTTATTAAAACATCCTTATTACCGCTGCTGCTGATGCTACTTTTACTCTACTTATAATATTAAGTATTGGTCAAGTTCAGACAATGATTTGAAAATTGTTGTCTAAACATTATGAAAATAAGTGTTTCATAGTAATATACAGTATCATGTTATTGTTTTCACAGTAGTTAAATACTACTTAGAGATATATAACCCTTAAAATTGCATATGTTTTACTGCCTGTAACAATTCACTGTATTCTTGAACAGATTCAAAGATGGACTGGCTAGCCTACACCTTTTGGGTGCCCTTTGCCAACATCCGAGTGTACTGGCGCCAGTGCTGTGTCATACGGACAAGAGGCTGACTTCAGTTGAAGTGCAACGACTCTTCTTACCACAGCTCAGTCCAGCAGGGAGCAACAGGAGGACTACAGAAACCGTGGCACTCAGCTTCTGGGCAGCCTATCTGATGGACTGTGAAGGTTTGTGCAGTAAAATACTGTTCTGATCAGAATAGGATCTGCTGTTATTACATGAATGTTAATATATTTAATGACAGCTCTTTGTTTCACAGAACAAGGACCAGTGTCACTGGAGGAGTTATTCATGTTCATCACGGTCCTGAAGACAGAACCCCCTGCAGGAATGACACCCCATCCATGTGTCACGTTTTCACAGGAGACTATCTATCCCATGGCAAACACCTGTGCAAACACCATAACACTTCCACTACTAGGAACGTACGCTAGTTTCAAAGCCAATATGGACTTTGGCATCCAAAACTCCCCAGGTTTTGGATGTCTGTGAAATGGTAAAAGAAAGGGGCAGAACACCATCACCGCAGTATAGCTTTTTGGAGTTTTATAAACTTGTGGAGTTCCTCATGTTTGAGGTTTGGGGAAAAATATGTTTCATACAGCGGTTTCAGAGTTTTCTTTAGACGTCTATAAAGACAACGTTATTAGTAGTGCTAATATGTTTAAGGAACACAATACTGTTTTGCAGCGTTTTCACAAGAATAAACATTTATTTTCTTAAATGCAAATAAATCACTGTTTCCCAAATCCTCAAATGTCTTGTGCCAACTCTGTTAGGGCTCACAGCTGCCCAATTGAAGGTACTGTCCCATTCACAGCCCAGCTATTCCCTTCAGTGTAATCAACAGCTGGGATGCTGCTTGCCAGGTATCTGGATGTTGAAGTCCATGTTGTTGCATTGCCTGCTGAAAATAGTCATTGATGTCCGGATCACCATATGGATCTTCTGTCTGATGCCCGTCTTGAAAAATGTGGGTTGATGCTTCATCCAGAGCAAAGCCACAGTCCCGTGACCCAAACCTATAAAACAGTTAGTATTATAATGATGCTTGAGGGGAGATGCTCGGCAGCAAAGTATGAGAATACTTTATCACAACAGCACACTTATGTTATGTAAACTAAATGCTCTGAAATGATAGTTTTTGAAACTATGTCATGATGTGTTTTATGGCCATCTTGGTTATTATTATTAGTGTGGTGTAAGCCTATATGTGTATTAACTACAAAATATAAACAATTTACCTGTGAGGTAGTGAATACAGCTCATTAGGAATTCCACCCGGACAAGAGGCAAGTCTGGAGGGCCGGATTCTGTGCCTGTTCCAAAGGTGAACACATTCAACCAGGTCTGCCTGAAGAACTGTCATGAAACAGAACCGTAGAAGGCACTGGTGCTCATGGGTGCCATTGAAGTGTCCGTGGTCTCTTAGATCAGCAAATAGATCCATCCAGAACTGAGTCCTTGGGATAAACAGGATGTTTTGTTCTACACAAATATGATGTGGACTACTTATACTTTACTCATCATTTATTCACATGTGCCCCTTTACACTTACACCTAACAACATGTATACATTTAGCTTATTATAGACAAAGGTCTACTTAGCCTATGTAACTTTGTAATTGTTCTTTAAAACAGGCCTAAATAATGTATTTTTACAGTCGGGCATCGAGCTGGTAAAACAATATTATTTGATACAGTATCCACAACGATACTAACTCTGGCATTGGGCAGCACGAAACAACTCATGTCCACATACCTTTGTTTTCTGAATATTGACCACCAGGACTCGATCCGCTGGTTACTCATAGAAGACCCAAACATGTGGCTTTTGTCACCAGCGTAGTAATCACTGTGGTCGTGACGAAGAGTGCACTGGACAGAGGCCATTAACCCATTCTCTGTTCCACAGTCTGTGCGCAGTCTCATGGGAATAACGCCAACATTTCTGATACAGTCAAAGTAGTTTTTTATCACTTCTGGGTTCTTGTTTGTTGGTCCACACTTGAGCCACATGATTTTGCGGGAGAACCCGTCAATACAACCAGATATCCCAATGCCAAACGGTTTCAATTTGTCATATCCATCTACGTGCCACACATAATTTGGACCCATAGAGTGGTACGTGTGTCTGACAAACCTACGGCGTGTCCGCGACAATGTTCCGAGTGGGTTCAGTTCACGAAGCATTCTCATTACCGTCTCCCTTTTAACATGGAGTCCATGTTTCTGCTTTAATGTCAGCCACATAGTTCGATAGCCAAACATTTGTCCAGGTCCCCGCAGCTCTGAGAAGATGGCCCTCCTGACTTCACTTGTTGACGAGTAGTCACCCCGTCTCCTTAGTCTTAACTCTTTCAACCGCGCTTTCAGGTTTCTAAGGGACATGTTGATGTCGTGATGGGTTGAAAGCATGTCGAGGATAACATCGTATGTATATCCTTCGTTAAAATATTCCCTTAAGATTTCCATCTCTTCTTCCATTCTTTCCAACTCAGTTTAAAATTCGTGAAGAAACAGCTGAATAGTACCAAACAGGAAATACGTGGTGCTGTCGGCCGGGTGCTGACCAATCATGAAGCGTAATTTCTTGACTGGCAGCAAAAACAACCAATCACAGCAGTGCTTCTCTGGCTGGCTCTGTCCAATCACAAACAAGAAGTGTTCTCCCTAAAGGAATACCCTTTCCGTCCAATGTGAAATGCTGTGGTGTTTTCTGAAATGCTGTTGTGTTTTCTGAAATGCTGTTGTGTTTTGTGAAATGCTGTGGTGTTTTCTGAAATGCTGTGGTGTTTTCTGAAATGCTGTTGTGTTTTCTGAAATGCTGTGGTGTTTTCTGAAATGCTGTTGTGTTTTCTGAAATGCTGTTGTGTTTTCTGAAATGCTGTTGTGTTTTCTGAAATGCTGTTGTGTTTTGTGAAATGCTGTGGTGTTTTGTGAAATGCTGTTCTGTTTTCTGAAATGCTGTGGTGTTTTCTGAAATGCTGTTGTGTTTTGTGAAATGCTGTAGTGTTTTCTGAAATGCTGTTCTGTTTTGTGAAATGCTGTAGTGTTTTGTGAAATGCTGTGGTGTTTTGTGAAATGCTGTTCTGTTTTGTGAAATGCTGTAGTGTTTTGTGAAATGCTGTTCTGTTTTGTGAAATGCTGTTCTGTTTTGTGAAATGCTGTTCTGTTTTGTGAAATGCTGTTCTGTTTTGTGAAATGCTGTTGTGTTTTGTGAAATGCTGTTGTGTTTTGTGAAATGCTGTTGTGTTTTGTGAAATGCTGTGGTGTTTTGTGAAATGCTGTTCTGTTTTGTGAAATGCTGTAGTGTTTTCTGAAATGCTGTTGTGTTTTCTGAAATGCTGTAGTGTTTTCTGAAATGCTGCGGTGTCTTGCACTTCAGGGCCACCGTATACTTAGTTACTTTACACCACTTTTTCAGGTTATGTCTTCATTCAACTTTGTTTGATTTATTTTATATATGTTTCTTTTCTTTTGTGCTGCAGGTACCTCACTACAGGAGATTCATTCAGGACAATTGCCAACAGCTTCCGTGTTGGTGTCTCAACAGTCTCTACCATCATCCCTGATGTGGCCACTGCTATCTGGGACTGCCTTGTGGAGGAGTTCATGGCTGTGCCCTCTACAGAGGAGTGGAGGTCAATAGCAGAGAAGTTTGAGGAGCGGTGGAACTTTCCTCTCTGCTGTGGAGCATTGGATGGGAAACATGTTGTCCTCAAAGCCCCAGAAAACACAGGATCCCAGTTCTTTAATTACAAAGGAACATTCTCACTTGTTCTTTTGGCAGTTGTGGATGCAGAGCGTTGCTTTCGTGTCATTGATGTTGGGGGCTATGGAAGAACTAGTGATGGTGGCATTCTGGCCAACTCTGCTTTTGGTCAAGCCCTGAAATCTAGCTCCCTCCAACTGCCTGCTGGCCTGCCACTCCCAGGAGGTGACCACCTGGGACCCCTGCCACATGTATTTGTTGCAGATGAGGCCTCTCCCTGGGCGCAACCTTCCCAGAGAGCGCAGAATATTTAATTACCGTCTGTCTCGAGCTCGGCTTGTTGTAGAGAATGCCTTTGGGATTCTCTCATCCCAGTGGAGGATGTACAGGCGTGTAATTGAGGTCCAGCCAGAAGTTGCAGATACGTTTGTGAAGGCTACCTGTATTCTCCATAACTTCTTGCGCAGGACAACCCAGGCAAACACACAGAGGGCCTTCTCAGTTGCTGATGTGGAGCCACTGCCAGGTCTAGGAAGAATTGCAGCCAACAACTCCGCAAGAGAGGCCATCAGAGTTCGGGAGGTGTTCACATCATACTTCAATGCAGAGGGAACGGTCCCACGGCAAGACGACGTGTAATGCACCAGCACACATTAAAAGGCTCTTTTAAGAGCCACCCACACATACTATTGAGCAACCTCCTGCAACATTTCTATCCCAACACCAGATTTAGGTCACCAATTCATATAATTATTTCTGTTAAATCCATGAATTATTGTTTTGTGAGGTAGTGCCACTTTCTGCTTTTTAAATGACTTTATGATTTTAGGCAAAGCATATAATAGAAGTACATTTTTACTTTAAATGTAATAGAATTATGAAAATATGCAGTCTGTTATTGTGACGACCCCTCCACACCACGAGGGGTGCCGTCGGCTCCGTGTGTGTGTGCTTATAGGATCCAGTGCTGTGGGGCCGGCATTTGTCTGATGAGCTGCACCTGTGTCGGGGAGCCGAGAGCCAAACCGGATTCGTCCCTCGCCCTCATTCCTCTTGCCACTCTCTTCATGCCAGCCTCGGGGGACCTATTGCTGGCTTCGTTTATTTGTTTAAATATAAATAAATTATTGTAATATTGTCGCACCTCGTCTCCACTCTCAGGTTTTGTTAGGAATACTCTGTTACAAGTCAAAGTTAGTTACTTTACACTACTGTGCACAATACAATCACCTTAATTACATTATTAACTAGAAAATGCATTTCCTGCAGAAAATGCGTGCGAATGCTGTAAACTGTGAACATTTGTGGCTGAATTTAGCTGAATATGCAGAAAAAGCTGAATATGTTATTAGCTGAATGGTAGCTGCTTTTAGCTACAAAAATGCAGAAAAAGCTTAATATTTAAAAGAAAAGGTTTAAACAAACATGTATAGCCTTGATGTCCTGAAATAGCTGAATAATGTAATAGTTGAATGGTTTCTGCAGCTGAAAATAGGCTGAAGGAGTTAAATATCAGATGTAATTAGTAGTGAATGAATTTGTATTAAGATGAGAAAAGAAAGTAAAAAGGCTTGGGAAAGCAGCAGAATATTTGAACTACAAACTTTTGAACTAACTTGATGGTGAATTATCTGTCGCCATGGCAACGGCATTGGATGACACCCCATAATACGCTTAGATGTGTTGATGGCTGCATCGTTACCAAACTTGTGAAGTTTTGGGCCATTTCGAGCATTTTCACTGAAGTTATGAGAAAACCGTGTTTCATGGTGAGCATTGTGTTGCCATGGCAACGGCATTTGAAGAAATCTCAAAACTGTCCCGTAGATGTCTTCACGGCTGGACTGTTAGCACACATGTGAAGTTTGAGCACTTTTTGAACATTTTCATAGGAGTTATACATTACATTAGGAGGTTACATTACTCTCTCTCTTCTCTTGATCGCCCTCTCTCTTCTCTTGATCACCCTCTCAATCTTCTATCGCCCTCTCTCTCTTCTCTTGATCGCCCTCTCTCTCTCCTCTTGATCGCCCTCT